GTGGCTTAAAGGGATCATTTATGTACAGTACACAATATCATTTCTCATATTATTTATTCATTGTCTACAATTTCTCCAATTCACACACACACTTATCAGTTTTTATCACTTTTTAAATGATAATTTGCACATAGAGCTTACATTGAGATAAACCTACACAATAGGGGAGGATGCAGCAATGTAGAGGACTTTATAGCGTGTAAAATTATTTATTTATAAATACAAGGAAGAATTATATATCTATATACACGAGGGAAAGGTGAAAAGTTCTCGGCCAGACCCAGAGATGGCATTCCAATTGGCAAAAGATTATGTTTTTTCTCCATGTGCCCACATGTCATTAGTGGGTAGGACAAGTTTTAACTTGCCGTACTGGCGTACTGCTGGTACCATATGAACTGAAATCAAGAGACATTGAACAACGTTTTTTCACGTGAACAACTGCTCCAATGTCAAAAAAGAAAGGGGTTTTTGCATCGAATTGTAATTGGCGATGAAAAGTGGGTCCATTACAATAATCCAAAACGTCGGGCAACATATGGATACCCTGGCTGTGCCTCATCATCGGCGACCAAGCCAAATATTTATGGCGAGAAGATCATGCTGCATATTTGGTGGGACCAGATAGGAGTGGTATATTATGAGCTGCTACAACCAAACAAAAGTATCACAGGGGAGGTCTACCAAAGACAATTGATGCATTTGAGCCGAGCATTGCAATAAAAATGGCTGCAATACGCCAATAGACACGACAAAGTTATTTTGTAACATAATAACACGATAATAAAACTTACTTAGAATAGTCAAATGAAAAGCCCTACCCCATCCGCCGTATAGCCCAGACATTGCTCCTTCCAATTATTATACAGTATAACCTCGTTAATTCGACACACCCCAATTCGACACTCTGCGATAATTCGACCATGTTCCGATGTCCCGACCTCCGGCCTATCAAATAACAAACCGTAATTCGACAGTATCGATAATACGACAGTTCCGATAGTTCGACCATTTTAAAATTTGAATTTCGACAGTTGAATGTTATTTTACATGCAACTTTACCGCTAAACGGTATTACGGCGGGCGCCGATCGGATCGCGCCTGCGCACTTTTGGTTTCTGGTTAGTTTAAGTTTCACTTTGCAGTGCCGTTGCGCAATTTCGCGGATGTTATTGTTGTTTTTTTACGCAGGAATTTCGGCATCATGCGCTAACTAATAATAATTTTTATTTTTAACATTGAAATATTTTAGCTATTTTTAAATTTATAAATAATTTCTTTTTAAATAAATAAATCTTTATAAAATGATTCAACAATGATTATGATAACATTTTAATTCAATATTCTGTGTTAATTTGAATAAATGAGTGGGGCAAGAATGTCAGGCTCTGCCAAAAAAAATTGGAAACGTAGTCAGTATCACCAGCTCACTTATGTGGAAAAAATGAAAATTATAGAAGAAATAGAACAAGGAAAATCACATAGTCTAGTTTCCAGAGAGAGAAATATTCCATGGTCCACCATTAGCACAATTTTTAAAAATAAATTCGGCATAAAATCTGCCTTTTTAAAATCTAATTTTAGCTCTACGTTGAAAAGTGATCGTGGCGGGGAATTCCCAGAGATTGAAGAAGCCCTGTTTAGGTGGATAAGGCAGGCAAATGCCATGAAACTTGCCATAAATGGCAATATCTTGAAAGAAAAGGCTATACTCTTGGCCTTGAAAATGGGTCAAGATAATTTTGAAGCTAGCAATGGCTGGCTAGAAAAGTTTAAGGCCAGAAGGAATATTGCTTTTAAACGACTTCATGGAGAAGCTGGAAGTGTGGATGCCAATAGTGTAGCCACTTGGAAAGGTGAGATTATTCCTTCACTTTTAGCTAAATACAGCCCACAGGACATTTTCAATGCTGATGAAACAGGGTTATTTTATAAACTTTTGCCTAATCAAACAATGACTATCAGAGGTGAGAAATGTGAAGGGGGTAAGAAGTCTAAAGAGAGAATTACAGTGTTGGTATGCTGTAATATGGATGGAAGTGAAAAACTGCCTTTACTTTATATTGGGAAATATAGAAGACCACGATGCTTCCATGGCATGAATATTCCCTCAAATTATCATTTTAATAAAAAAGCCTGGATGACTGGGGCAATTTTTACGGATTGGCTGAAAAAATTGGACCAAATATTCAAAAGAAGAGAAAGAAAAATTTTATTAATTTTAGATAATTGCCCAGCCCACCAAATACCTGAAGGGTTACAGAACATTGAAATAAGATTTTTGCCCGCCCTAACTACAAGTGCATTACAACCCTGTGATATGGGTATCATTAAAGCCCTAAAAGACCAATATAGGAAACGAATGATAACGTATCTTCTCACTTGCATGGAAGAAAAAAAAATGCTCAAGTACATTTACTCTTTGCAATTAGCTGGCTAGAGGCTGCATGGGTTGGGGTTAGTTCTTCCACAATAAAAAATTGTTTTTCTCATTCAGGATTTGTGATGGATGAAGCAATGGAAGATGTTGTTGAAGAAGAAATGAACAGATGTTTTGAGGCATTAAAAAAACATCAAGCCATTGATGTCAACTATATTGACTTCTTGGAAGTTGATAAAGATGTGCAAGTTGCTGGGGAACAGTCCATTGAAGAAATTGTAAAGGAGGTAATGGGAAAAGAAGAAGATGAAGAGGTAGAGCCAACAGAAAAAGATTTAAACAAAACATCAATAACACCTGCAGCAGCAGTGGATGCCTTTAATACAATAAAAACTCTTTGTTGTTTAAAAGACATTTCTGAGGAAGAAAGGCATGCATGTCTTTTAAAAATAGACTATCTGGAATACATCCTGAATAGGATTTCAGAGAAAAAACAGACATCTATAAAAGATTTTTTTTTTTAATCTTGATTCTTGATGATATTTTTTAATTTTCTTTTTATTTTCCATATTTATTTTCTTTAAACTATTATTCACACACAATTGGAATAAAATATTATTTGTTTCGAAAATATGTATTATTGCCATTTTGTCCCAGATACTAAAAGTTAATCATGAAAATAAAAAAATAAATATAAAAAAGTACACACACAATGGTTTCAATTAATATCATTAATTTATATTACAAAGCTATTTATAAAAAATATATATTATTTTAGCTAGTTAGATGATTAGCTAATCATCTCACCTTAATTCAACACTTCCTTTAATTCAACCGAAAGCTCTGATCCCTTGGGGTGTTGAATTAAAGAGGTTTGACTGTATCTTCCGATAAATGAGCAACATGGCCTGGCTGACCAGGACTTCTCCAACTACGATAAAGTAAAAAAAATGGATCAATGAATGGATAGCAGCCAAAGAGCCGGCCTTTTACACGATGGGATCAGTCAATTGCCAGAAAGATTGGAAAAAGTAGTGGCTAGTGACAGACAATACATTCAACATTGAATGTTTAACCAATTTTTCACAATAAAGCTTCAATTTTAAACAACAAAAAAATCACAACTTATTTATACTTCTAATATAACTCTTGAAGGTTGTAGTTATTATGATAGGAACTTATTAATACCTTTTCATCATTTTAGTCACAAAAATATGCAAATCGCATAAGTTCTGAATCCAGCTCTATATCTTCAACTATCTATCTCCATTCTTAAGTACCAGAAGGTAGAGAAGAAAAAAATAGTTTTTATAAATATGACTACAGAATATCTTGTTTTCACCATCAACCCTCCTCACCTGAATGGCAGTGGTCTTGCTGTAGACTATTTCGTCGTCATGGCCCAGGCAGACTGCGATGGCATCCACCTGGTTTAGGACCTGATCGTCGTTCTGTCACACAGACTTTGTTGTAATGATGGAATGTGTGAGATAGGAACATGTAGCCATTGTTGAAAACAACCATTTTCAATGACAATTTTCAAACAAAGTCCAACCTCTTCAATTCAACACTAAGTGACTTTCGGTGTTGAATTAGTCAGTCAGGCTAATTATCAATTCATATCACAACATTCACTGCTGATGGATATTTTGTTGCCTACATTTAAAGGGGGGAGATTTATGAATTAGTGCTTTTGTGGCAAATGTGAAATTGTGTGGCTCTTTAAAAATTAAAATTTTGTAAATTAATTTTTGACTCTTCTGACTCAATAAAAACATTATTCATTTGGAGTGAAATCTCTTTCTTAGTTTTTGTGGTATCATCAAAAGAACAATAGTAATCAGCAATTGCTTTACACGTACATTGTAAAACCATTTCCACATTGAGCATCCAATTGAACATTTTCCATTGCAATTCAAGTATTTTTGTACAGTGATGGTAATACAGTAGAAGTTCCCTGTAAAGGACACCTAGTTGCAGAGACAAAGTGTCCTTTAGGGAGAGATGTTTTCTTACTGGAAAGTTGCTGAATAATAAAAATGGTAATTTTGGCGATGAAAACTGTCCTTTGTGGAGAGGTGTCCTCTAGCAAGAGTGTCCTCTCATGGAGGTTCTACTGTATTGGAATACTTACACTAGATATTTTCCAAACCATAAAATGTTGGGAATTTTCGTGTGCACGTTTTACCAACATCACCATCTGATGAATTCTTATTTTTCTACATTTGAATAACTTTAAATTAATCATTAAGATCAAGGTATTTTTATATTAAAATTTAATAAGAATAAAAATTACATGCTAAAAATGTAGACAAAAATGATGGGGCTATATAACAAAAAAGTATTTTTTATTTATTTAAAAATATACTATTTTTAATATGTAGAAATTATAATTTCTCTATATATATAAAAGTCAATGTCTGTCTGTTTCGCGATAAACTCAAAACTACTGAACCAATTGGTACCAAATTTTGCATGTCGCTTTTTATAAACCTGAGGAAAATTTTCGGCTACATTTTGATTAGTATTTTTGGCTATTTCTTTTTTTCATTTTAAGAACTTTTTTTACGCGGAGTAATCCGGAATGGAATGAATACCCAAATATGGCCATTTTTTATAAGCATCGGTGGTTCAGTGGTAGAATGCTCGCCTGCCACGCGGGCGGCCTGGGTTCGATTCCCGGCTGATGCATTTTTTTTTTACAATTTTTAAAACTCATCTATATATATATATAAAAATGAATGTATGTGTGTCTGTCTGTCCTTTATGCCTGACCAAACCACTCATTGGAACGCCATGAAACTTTGGGAAGTTATTTAGTATAGTACTGGGTAGGTTTCTAGCAAATAAAATTTTTGAAATAACTTTTCGCCTAAAAATAATCAAGATAAATATTCTAATTTTCTGTTATAATTCAACAATATGCTCTAAATATTATCATGATGATACGATGATTTTGTAATGTAGAAAATTAGGAAAGACAAAATTCAGGATGACACGGCAATTTATTTGAGACAAGAATAATGCTACAATTCCAAGGCAAGATACTATTCCTTTAACTTCCAATTACCGAGGGAACCAATTAATATTGATTTTATTCAACTTATCGAGTATTTTTCAAGGGACCGGGAAAAAATGTTCACTTTATCGAGAGATTCGTTAGACAAACCTTTACTCGGGTAAAACCCGGGCGAAGCCGGGTACGTCCGCTAGTATTATATAAAATCAATAAATAATGTATTGGGGGAAGCATTTGTTATTTGGAGGTGTCCACTAGTGTGAACAAATTTTCAATAGAAGGGGTATTTTGGTGATGTCCATTGTTTATAGGTGTCCACTAATTCAGGTTCTAGAGTTATAGATGAATTATAGTCAGCTGAATATATTAAAGAAGTATTATCCTTATTAAATCCAGTACATAAAGACTGGACTGAAGAGATCAACAAAGTGTGTGCTAGCTGCTTCCCTCTCCATTAGGGAAGTTGGTGGGATTTAAACTACCTACATTTTTCATTTATTATGCAAATTTTAATATAAGAAAATAAGACTGAATCCAAATAATTTATTAGTGTGTGACGTTTTCGCAACAGCATTGTCACCATCAGACAAAAGAATAAATAAGAAAAAATATCACAGCAAGTTCTTAAGAATACTATTTAAGAACTTGCTGTGATATTTTTTCTCATTTATTCTTTTGTCTGATGATGGTGACAATGCTGTTGCTGAAACGTCACACACTAATAAATTATTTGGATTAGGTCTTATTTTCTTATATTATTATCTATAATCCAAATTGTGATTTACCATATGCAAATTTTAATTATCATACACTGGCTATTTTTGAGAGTTAGAACCCAACTAGATGAAAGAGACCTCCTCCGCACCATCAAAACCTGATGCCTGCAGGAATGGGAATCTAATGTTACCCATGACTGGTACAGAGCAGGAGGGACAAGCACCGGTTCTGTCCTCCCAAGAGAACAACAGTCTTTGATTTCCAGACTTTAGTCTGGTCATCTACGGACAATGACTTTCCAGAATGGTTGCAGGGTTTTCTCACTATGTACTAAATGCAATTCTCAGCCTGCAACACACATTATTGACTGTATTGACTCATCCCTTGATAAGCTCTACTTATCCCCAGCAGACACCATCAAAAGTCTCAAGCTCTACAGGCTTGATACCCTAATATGATTGAATGGATATAAGAAGAAGAAAAGTAAATATTGAAAACACCTTAATCGAAATATGCATCCTTTTTTTTAAATTTTCTATTAAATCATGTGTTTTTATTGTTTCTAATTCAGTTTATGTTATTTGATAAAGGGTTTTTTTTTTTTGCTCTACAATTCATTATGATCTATATCAGGTAGGAAGTCAAAGTTTCTTTGGTATGACAGCATTCTAATTTGTATATTATTTCTTTAACCCATCAGGGAACATGCTTTTTAAATCAGCATTGGGTGAAAAACAAGCCAGAACTTCTTCTGGCTTATCCAGAATGACTTCAACCAAAACGGATGTCGACTGCCAACCAATCAGAGAATGCAACAATGGCATTGATCATAACATTGTGCCAGTCCCCTAGACATTAAAACCATAATCGACCAAATATGGTCTTATCTATTCTATTTTCACCAAAAAGAAGCTATTTTCAATTATAAAAATTAGTCAAATCATCATATATATATATATCAAACACATTAGATTGCCTTTTTTAAAATAATTTTTATTTTTTGTTGATAGATTGATAATCAATTCTAATTTTAATATGAATATGTACATCTTGAGTATTGACAGTTTTTGGAATATTTTTATGCATAATTTCACTAATTAAAATTAATTATATATTTTTTATTTTTGAATAAATTAGCTAATTTGTTAATTAATTTAAATGTGCGAAAAAAATGTACTTTGTAATTCGTTGGCGCCCTCATGTTTTTAGGAGGGAAAATATATATGATAACTACAACTAAATATATACATAAATAGGTTTTGTAAGTATCGGTTAGTTCAAATCGCTATGTTGGCAGTTTTATAGTATTGTTTATTTCCAAAGTGACAATGTGTAAATGGCGCAATCTTACTTACCCGCCAAGATGAATATAATAGCCTAATACGACTATAAAATGCATCTTTTTCAAGATGAAGTGACCCCATTATTAATATATTATGAATTTATAAAATTTAATATTTATATTAAAGTTCAAAAACGTGTGTTTTTGATATTCACCAAAACAACATTAAAATGTATGTACTAAAATATTATTGACATTTTTTTTTTTAATTTCCAAAACATAAGAACTGAATAAAATAAAATAAAAAAACTAAATGACCAAATTGAAATTTGAAAAATAATTTGAATTTTTTTATTTTTGAAATATATTTTTATATGATAAATAAATATCTCAATATAATAGCTCTTCAATATTTGAATACTATTTAGAAGTTTTTTTTTTTATGAGAAATATAGGGTTCGTAGAATTTGGCTTTTTGATTTTTTTTTCTTTTTGATTTTGAATTTTAAGGACATTTTTGAAATCATTAGGAACATTTTTGAATTCATTCAGAGTATTTTTTATCTTCTTGCAAATATTAAGGTTTTACTCTTCTAAATCAACATTTTAAAAATTTTAATATTTTAAGATTTGAAAACAAAATTGTGAAATTTAACACATTTCATAGATTTAATATAGAGAGACATTTTGAAAGTGTACATGAACCTCTATAATGTAAAATTAGAAAATTTTATAGTTTTATAATAAACATTATAAAATTAAATAGCAATAATCCAGAGTTAAATAATAATATTTTTTGTTTAATGGAATTATTTATTTCTCTTTTATATGAAAACATTACTATTTAATAACCCTTTATAAGAAATTTGAATTATTTTTGACGCATATGATTCTTTTAAAATAAATCAATTTTCTAATTCCCTTACTGCAATGATAAAATATAATGGGAGGGCCTGGCTCATCAGTGGTTAACCCTATCAGCGGTTTCATCAGTTTCACCACTGATTAGCCAGGCCCTCCCATTATATTTTATCATTGTAGTAAGGGCAGTAGAAAATTGATTTATTTAAAAAAGAAACATACGCGTCAAAAATAGTTCAAATTTCTTATAACAAATGGCGCGCTAATGCATTATATTAATAACTTTTATATCTATTTTATTACCTAAAACTCGTTTAGCACCTATAGTACATGTTGTTGTTGTCTGTCCAAAGAAGAGTCTCAGATGTCTCCATGCATCTCCATCACAGCAGCAGCAATGTCCACTATCTTGGATGTATAAAGCTTCTGCTCTGGGTCTAAGTCAATTTTCTGCAAGGCTGCGGCCATTGCTGGGCATGAGAATATGTGTGTAGGTGTTATTTCCACACCAGGACAGTTGTTGCATGCTCTATAGGTTCTTGTGTCATCTGGATGTAATGCCATTTCTTTATAGTGCTTTGTTCTAATGCTTGTTATAGTTTTTGTCAGTTTTCTCTCAGAGTTTATTTCACATATTTGATCTTTTCTTATTTTTTGTTTAATTATCTTAAATTTTGCCAAAGCATCTGCGTCAAATACTGACATTTGTTCTTTCCTTTGGCTCAGCTTTCTGGCCTCCTTTGCCAATTCATCTGCCATTTCATTACCCAGATCCCAACATGGGCAGGAATCCATTGTAGAATGCATTTTTTCTCCAATGTTTCCAGTTGGGTAAGTAATGAGTGTATTTTCTGTGTGATTCTAGTATTGCCCTTCTGAATTGCTTCTAGAGCGGATCTGGAGCCACTGTATATTATAATTCCTTCTGCTTGATGCAGGGATGGTTGGTTCAGGCAAACATCAAGAATTTTCCAGATAGCTGTCAGTTCACAAGTGAAGTTTGACGAAATCTTTATTTATTTATTCAAATACTATTCGTTACAATTATAAATTGGCACCGTGGATGTCACGTTTGTGAAACGTCCCGCTCCAAACTTTGTGTGTTTTTAAAATATAAAAATAAATATGTAAATTTTCACAGCGATATTTGAAAATTATATTATTTTGATTTTCAAATACTATTGTTACAATTATAAATTGGCGCCGTGGATGTCACTCTTGTGAAACGTCCCGCTCCAAACTTTGTGTCTGAGAAGCGATATTTTTATAGAAAGATGATCTGGCTTTTGTTTTCTGCTCGAATGAATGTTTTTCTGTTAGAATTTTGTTCCTGCGTACAAAATAATAAACTGGTTTAACCCGTGGTCTCTGCTTTTTAAAATTTCCCCCCCCCCCCATATAATTTTGTATCTGATAATCAAACATGATACAGCAATATCTTCATAATCATTTTCTGACTAAAATATATAGTTTTAATAATTGATTTATATATTTTTTAAAATAGCCTATCGTCTTACCGTATTTTTTTACCTATGTATGGAAATTTTGGTTTGAATTAGTGAACTACTGCGAATTTGTATACCAGACATACAAACATTCATTTTTATTAATTACTAGCGGATGTACCCGGCTTCGCCCGGGGTTTTACCTGAGTAAAGGTTTGTCTAACGAACATTTGTTAAAACAATTCTCTATAAACTTATAAAAAAAAAGAAGATATATTTTGATAATTTGAAACTCGTAAATTTGAATCTCTCGATAAAGTGAACATTTTTCCCCGGTCCCTTGAAAAATACTCGATAAGTTGAATAA